TTCTTCAGGTCATTGCCTGTTTTTCTTCATCGGCCATCGTATGGTCTTGTAGGATAAAATAAGGGCCTTCAGACATCCGCGTCTGCTATAGAGGGTTCAGCGGGTTCACTAGACTGTTTCATGCCCTGAGTGAGCAGCATATCTCCATTGTTTAATGTCCTGCAGTATCCTCTGGAACTGTGCCCTAACAATACAGTGGACTAGACTGTCTATACTTCAGAGCTAAACTGGTCTTCCAGAGAGCTCTGCTCCTAAAGGAATAAATGAAGCACACAAGACCTTTTGAGAGATAAGATCTTGAGCTTGCCTTGGACTTTTACTTTGAATGAGAGGAGGAATTGAATTTATTGACTGCTTTTGCTTTTGTGTATGGCATGCTTGCAGAATTGGCATTTTTGTGTTAGGGATGTTGAGTGAAACAGCGTGACCACTAGTAGTGGCTGAGTATGAAACGGCTTTGCTTGTAAGGTGGTTTACAAAGGTCTTTTTATTAAAAAAAAGTTCTTGGCTGTTGAAGCAATTATTGGCTCTTGCATGATCATTTTTCTTGCGCAGTTATTGAATTTGGGAGGACAAAAAGTGGTTGTCAAACACTTCGACATGGTGTCCATGGAAACCAACCCAGCATGTTTACTTTTTTTTAAACAGGACAAGTGGAGGAAAAGACACAATTGTTGTTTTTGCTCTGCAATTTGTATCTTATCACAATTGATCCAGAAGACCACTATGTTTTTATTGAGAAGCAAATGCTTAAAGCAATACCTTTTAAAAATGCAATTTTTAAATGTGTATAAATAAAAATGTGAAAAAATGACTGTAAATCTGATCTGTGATGTTTTTGAAATTACACACTTTTAAATGTCTGTTGAGATATGAGCAATATCACAGTCGTGGGAGGCGTGCGTTTCCTCTGGGTGCTCCGGATTGCCCCACAGTCCAAAGACATGCGGTATAAGTGAATTGAATAAACTAAATTGGCCATAGTGTATGTGTGTCAATGAGAGTGTATGGGTGTTTCCCAGTGATGGATTGCAGCTGGAAGGGCATTCACTGCGTAAAACATATGCTGGATAAATTGGTTCATTCCGCTGTGGCGACCCCAGAATAATAAAGGGAATAAGTCGAAAAGAAAATTAATGAATGAATGTCCTTGGAGTGTGTATGCAAAGTTTCAGCTCAAAATACCACACAAATTATGTTTTTAACTATGAAGCTGCCCTTTTTAAGCCTGGTTTACACTTAGCGCAAATGTTATGTCTATAGCTATGTTTTCATCCAAAAATGCAAATTAACTTTATGCGCAAAACTGGATTATAACATAAAGGATGTTTGAATAAAGCAGTGTTTCCATCCAACGGGTCAAAGAGAACAAAATTGTCACTGCCTGATTAACTCGCGCCAAATATCAACAGTAAAAATGATTTTGCTGCGATAAGAGAAGCTGCGTCAATCTGTTCTTCATCTAATATATGACTTGCGCCTCAGAAGGCAATCCTGACACGCAGTGACAGCGGTGGTGGTTTAAGGCATGAGACTCGGAGTACAGACGCTCTTGATTGTAAAGGTCTTTAATAATATAATAACACTAATACTGAAATGGCTAAGGCATTTTAGAATGACCAAAACAACATTTCAGATGTTTTACAGTGTGCTCACCTGGCTGATTTGTCAATTCGCGCACATTTTTATCATCACATGATTTGTAAAGGTGTTTTTTTCATTGTAGTTTATTTGTATCTTTTCTTATCGAATAGAAAAGTTTATCTTACTCAGTTATGCGCATGTTTTTTTTTTATTTGCATTTTTTTATTTGTTTCCATCAACTGTTTTTAATGCGCATATCCAAAATGTGCATAAAAATAGGTGGATGGAAATGTAGCTATTGAGGTGTTAGTGGAGGTTTGCTTTGGGTGCGCACAACATCATCTCCACAGGTGGAGTGCACAACTATTGTTTGTAACTTTGTTTGCGGCTCCACATTCGAAGGTGAACGATTTGGAGCCAAGTTTGGCTCAGGAATTTACACGTGCAACACCTAAGTGCGTGATAGGAAGTCCTTCAGGTTAAAGATTTCTTTTAAAGCTTTGAGGAAAAACAATGCAAATGTTTTGTGCAATGTTTGTCCAAGGCTTTTTAAGTAAATATATGCTTTTTATTGTACAAAAGGTTTTGCAATAAGTACGCAGTTGGCTTGGATATATAACATGTAGCTTAAGTAAACTTGTTAGTTTTATTTATTCTTAAATTGATTCATTTAGCAGCTCTAGTTGCTGACTACTTCTTTACTATTGTTTTGTCATGACAGTTACTCCAAAAAAAAAAAAAGTCTTCACCATTCTCGGCTGTGTGTGCGTAGTCAGCGAAGGCTCGTGCTGTAGACGCAGGTGAAAGTATAAATCAGCCTTTAGGATTTGATCCGAATTGTGCAGCTCTGGTCACTTTAAATTCAAATGAGTTTGTGCTCTATTCAGTAGAAGGTGATGCTACAAATACTGGTGTGTCAGCATAATGGCAGATTCAGAAATACGTCCTATGCTAATAAGGGAGAGAAAAAAATGTTACACATCCTTATATATTGGATTTTTTAAACACAGAAAGTATTTATAATAAGTATTTATAATTCGTTTTAGCTAACAATTGTTAGATACATATGCTTACACCTTTGTTCTGCATGATCTTCGCTTACATCACAAATCCTAAATAACACCTAAACCTTAAGACTACCTACTGACCGTCAATAAGCAGCAAACTATTAAAGACTAACCAATAATCTCTTAATGCAAACCATAGCTCAAACACACCAAGTGCACCGCGAGCACAACTTTACTTGTATACCAAGCTTTTATGGATTAATAGTTTACTATTACTAATATTATTACTAATAATACTAGTTTTGTTGTTAAATTAAATGGAATCATGAAATGAATCTTATTTATTATTAAATTAATGCTTTCCTTTTAATATAATTATGCTATTTGTGTAATTAAATTAAATGGAATGATGGAATAAGTCTTAGTTATTATTAAATCAATGCTTTCCTTTAATATGATAATAGTATTTTTGTAGTTAAATTGGATTGAATGATATAATGAATTGTATTCATTATTATATCAATGCTTTTCTTTAATATAATAATACTATGTTTGTAGTAAAATGCTATATTTTATAGCATATATTTTAATGCTTTCATGAAATATACAAATTCTATTTTTGTAGTTAAATTGAATGGAATCATGAAATGAATTTTGTTTATTATTAAATCGATGCTTTCCTTTAGTATATTAATACTTTTTTGTAGTTAAATTTAATGGAATCATGAAATTAATCTTATTTATTAATACATCGATGTTTTCCTTAAATAATACTATTTTTGCAGTTAAATTAAATGGAAGGATGGAATGACTTTGATTTATTGTTAAATCAATGCTTTCCTTTAGTATAATTGTACTATTTTTGTAGTTAAATTGAATGTAATAATAAAATAAATCTTATTTATTATTATTTTAATGCTTTCATGTAATATAATAAGTCTGTTTTTGTGGTTAAATTGAATACAATGTTTAAACTAATCTTATTTATTAATAGATTAATGCTTTCCTTTAATATAATAATACTCTTTTGTAGTTAAATTGAATGGGATCATAAAATGAGTCTTATTTATTATTAAATCTATGCTTTTCTTTATTATAATAAAACTATTTTTGTAGTTAAATGAAATAGAATCAGGAATTTATTCTTATTTATTATTAAATCGATGCTTTCCTTTAATATATAAATACTCTTTGTGTAATTAAATTGAATGAAATGATAGATTAAATCTTATTTATTATTAAATCGATGCTTTCCTTTGATATATAAATATTATTTTTGTAGTTAAATTGGGTGGATAATTTGTAAGAAGTAAAAACAAAATATTATTATTATTATTATTATTATTATTATTATTATTATTATTATTATTATTATTATTTAATAATCCTGTCATGGAACATATGTGTTCTAATTTGGGACAATATTGTTGTTTATTAAATCCAGGATGCAGCTATTAGTGATTATTCCCATAAGCACTTGAAGCAGCCAGGAATGTCCCACTTGAATTCTGGCATTGACCCATTCCCTGCCGACAGCTTGAATAAACAAAGCAATACATTATATTGCTACATGAATATCACTGTTATGAGATCCCCTGTGCTGTGTCATTCTTAGTGATTACACCGTTTATCATATCTTACATGCTGTATGTTTATTCCTCATTAAACCAGATGATGAAATGATGCTGATGAAAAGATTTAACCAAACTAACTCAGTTGAAAGCAAAGTTAATTTCTGAAAGGGTGTCTGTGTGCTTGTGTGTGTGGATTCACTCGCACCTGCCGGACACTGGCTCTTTCTACGTTGGCTCAGTTTTTGGGCCTGAGGTCTGAGTCTGCAAGACTTGAGTTGAATAAAAAGGACTGTCAGAGCCACAAAGAGACTGTTATTCGCTGAATATCTTCCGAAATATACAGAGAAATGATTAGTGAAGCTTGTGAGCATGTCTGTGTTTGTATACAGCCAAATAATAATTAATTAATTATTAATTAAATAATTAATAATGCATGACAAATAATAATTAAAAACATAAGGTCAAAAGCCTGCAAGGTCAGCTGAATGACAAACAAGTTTGTGAAGTTTCTGTGAGGTTCATTCAGAATTAATTATGACCATTTTCCAAATTTTAGGTAGAAATAAAAGACTAAGGATGCAAAAACAAAGTGCATGCCACCGTTGAATGAATAAATAAAAAAAACAAGCAAACAAACAAATGTAAATATTAGAAAGGAATAACAATATTTTAGCTTTGGGGTTTATTTTTTTTGTCTTTTGCCCTGGAAATGATTTTAATCTGTGACTTATTTACATGTTGCACAACAAAGCATTTCAGAATTAGATTTTTTTAAAAAAAAGGTAAAACTACTTCAGATTAAAATGGTTGAATATTTCTTTTTGTTCCACTGTAGGTGCAGCTCAGAGCGGCGTAAGGAGAAATCTCGTGATGCCGCGCGCTGCAGACGGAGTAAAGAGACAGAGGTGTTTTATGAACTGGCTCATCATCTTCCCCTTCCACACAGCATCAGCTCACATTTGGATAAAGCGTCCATCATGAGACTGGCTATCAGCTTCCTGCGGACACGCAAACTCGTCAACTCAGGTACACAGTCAGTATATGACAATTATTAATTCAAACCAGCTTTATTATATTGAACAAGAAGGTCACATAAACTGCAATGCAAACTATTAAAAAACAAGGCAAATTTAAATCACGCTAACAAACAATAATGTCATTATTCAGCTCGGTTTATTGTTGATTTACAGTCATTGTTCAGTTTAATGTTGATTTAATTCAGTCTATTCATTATAAAACAATTGAAATTGATGTTCATTAAATTTGATGAACAACGTAAATGTCTATTACTGAATATTAGGTGTTTTCTAAGCACTAACTAAAGGACCTAAAGTGGTAACCCAAACCCAATCTGGGGACTAAGATTGCAAAAAATCTTGGAGAAAGTAAGCTCAGTCTTTAAAAGGCCATGTTTCCCTCTGGTCTAAATGTACAGTTGAAGTCAGAATTGTTAGCCCCACAGAGCAAGACAACTTCACAGTATGTCTGATAGTATTTTTTCTTTGTCTTATTAGTTTTATTTTGACTAGAATACAAACAGATTAAATTGTTTTTTTTTTTTTATAAACGTTTTGGAGTCATAATTATTAGCATAATAATAATAACATTAATAAAATTATTTATATATATACATTTTCTCTGCAAATATTAATTTTGATTCTCTGCAGTTATTAAAACTAATATGTTTAGAAATGTGTTGGAAAAAATTTTCTCTCCGTTAAACAGAAAATTGGAAAAAAATAAACAGGGGGCTAATAATTCTTACTTCAACTGTATATGTGTAACAGGACTGCATAAACATACACATACATACCATATTTTTAAGCTAATATTTAATCATATGCTATACCTTTTGCATTTTAAAACAAACATTTGACATTGGTGAAACTACTGATTTTGTTTATTTTTTCTATTTATAATCTATTATTGCTGATTATACTTATCTGGTAAAATTGTTAATTACCATGCAAAGCATTAAAAATATAAGTAGTTATAATTGTATCAACCATAATTGTTTTACCTATTCAGCCTAATTTTGTTTTGTTTATTGACTTTAAAATGGTTTATAAAAAAGCAGCTTTTGTTCTAACCAAAATAAAACAAATAAACATTTATCCTGAATAAAAACTGTTATTGGAAATATTGTGATCATTTCTTTGATCCATTAAATATCACTTGAGAAACATTTGAAAAAGATATAGCTGAAGTCAGAATTATTAGCCCCCCTGTTTGTTTCCCCCCCCCCAGTTTCTGTTTAACAGAGAGCAGATTTTTTCAACACATTTCTAAACATAATAGTTTTAATAACTCATTTCTAATAACTGATTTATTTTATCTTTTCCATGATGACAGTAAATAATATTTGATATACTTCTATACAGCTTAAAGTGACATTTAAAGGCTTAACTAGGTCACAGGTTAATCAGGCAGGTTAGGGTAATTAGGCAAAGTAATTGTATATTGATGGTTTGTTCTGTAGACTTTTAAAAAATATATAGCTTAAAGGGCCAATAATATTGACCCTATAATGATTTTAAATTAATAACTGCTTTTATGTTAGCCGAAATAAAAACAAATAAGTCTTTCTCCAAAATACAAAATGTTATTAGACATAAAGTGAAAATTTCCTTGCTCTGTTAAACATCATTTGGGAAATATTTTAAAAAGAAAAAGAAATTCAAAGGGGGGCTAATAATTCTGACTTCAACTTTATATAAAGCATTTGGATTAAAACAAATCTTTATTTTATAAAATGATTTGCAATATAAAACCTTTTTAAAAAACATATCTAATAAAAATGCATGCATGAAGACTTTAATAATTGATATTAATTGATATTATTAATTGAATTAATAATTGAATATTTTATAGTAGTTTAAGTTAGGACTTTTGGTTTATAAAGGTGTTCTTCATGATCAAATCTGACAACAAAACAAAGCTCTTTCACTACAATAGCTCATTCATATTGGTGCAGTTTCATTTGCCGTTTGATAAAGAAAGGTTATCAAAAGGATGACTCTGCTGTTAACACAACATCAAAAACCATGCGACTATTTTTGTCGTCATGTCAAAGAAAGAGCCGTGTTGGAAATACACCCTCTGATGATAATCAAATTCTAAACCTCTAGTTTGAGCTGTTATCTACATGTGCTATCATTAGTCCTGCTCTGTTATGAGGAAATGTTTTGTGATGTCAGACGGCATTAAAGTTACTGTTGTATTTTACAAATGAGGAGGCGCTTTATGTTAGGATATAATTGCGTTAGTGAATATTGGACCTGCTGTAACTCTGTCTGGGTTAATTACGTCTCACTGTAGGTGCTAATCGTATGAATCAAAGACAGTATGAGATGAATACAACAGTTGAATACAAAACCTAAAGGGTATGTTTAATAATAAACATGGGAAGCATCGATTTAAAATATGAAATGAAAAAGCAGAAAGTTCTATCTTTTACTTCTATCTTGTCATTCCGTTTAAGCAGGATTTTCTTCTTCAGTGGAATTTAAAATGAGACATGAAGCATGATGATTATACCTGTTAACCCTCCCTTTTTTCCTGGGATTCTCTTGTATTTCCTGGGATTCTCTTCAGTTCACGATCGCCGCAACACCCACCCCACTTATTGATTTTACAAGCACTTCCTACCCCTACCAACCCCCCACGCCCTCCGCTCTTCACCTTGGGGCCCCCATCAATAATTCTTGCGGGGGGCCATGCATTTTGCGCTATGCCACTATGCTACGCTATGTCCTACACAAACCTCAAAACAGTTCATGTAGCAGTGCGTGACTGTCAGTTGATGCGCTCATTAATAATAAACAGACGCTGCTTCCAAAACGAATTCTGTACACACGATTTGAAGTGGAGCGAGCGTCTGGGTTTTGGGTGCGTGTTTTTAACAACAAAAATATACATATAATTATTAATAATAACATCTAAAGATGTCGATCTTGGTGTTTTTTATTTTTATTTTTTTCAAACACAACTAATTTTGTCCTAAATTACCATACAAAATTCTGAAAGCAATCCAATGCTTTCATTGTCACATTAGATGTGTGCATTTTTAAAGTGAAACCTGTTATTCAAAGTAGTCAAACCAAAAATCCAAATAATTGAGATTTGTTTGTTGTACAGTGAAGAAAAGATTGAGATTTGATAACTTGATTTTATTTCTTTATAATAGCTAACAATTTTAAGTTTGTTGTAAGTTTGTTTGCTAATTTATTTGTTGCTAATATGTACTATTTATTATTTTATTTTGTAATTAATAATAATAACAATAAAACCGATTACTGACTGTTTAACTATTGATTTACGATTAAACAGCTCCAGAATAACTTCCTCTGGGGGTGTTGGAGTGGGATATAAGGGATAAATCATATATTATGGTGGCCATATCCTTTATTTTCATCCCGATGACGACGGGTATGATCAGGGCCGGCGCGTCCATCCATAGAGGCGGCCGTATAGAGAGGGCGGCATCCGCGACACCTCCCTTACTACCCGCGTCCTTAGTTATATTCACGCATAGGCGACAGAATAGAGAGGGCGGGGTCAGTGACACCTCCATCAGCACCCACGTGTCCTCAGTTATATCCGCGCATAGGGCGGCAGAATATAGGTCCGTGACACCTCACTTCATTTTCACAACAGGTCACTTTCGTTTTCACATTGGGGTTGAGGGTGGCGTGATCGTCCTCTGCCTAGAGCGGCAGTTCAGCTTGCTCCGGCCCTGGGTATGATGATGATTTAACCCAAATTAGCATGATTTAAGGGGTGTTGGGGTGGGATATTAGAGATATTCCTTATTATGGTGGCCATATCCTTTATTTTCGCATCCTGATGTTGACGGGTATGATGATGATTTAACCTAAATTAGCGTGAATAAATTGTAAAATAGCAAACAAATTGTTTGATAAAGTCTTCTGTGGTCATGCAGTATCATTTTACTTAAAATATTTTCAGTCACCAATCAAACCTCTCGGAAACTTTCTGCAAAATCTTTTGTGTCTCTAAGAAGAAAGAAAATCATAGGGGTTTGGAACAACATCAGGGAGATCTTTAAGAGCCAAAGCACTGCTCTGCTCAATGCTCAAGGTTTTTTTTTTTTTTTTTTTTTTGACTAAAGCAGGTATGGCGAGAGGATGTGAGCATGTTCGTATTGTTTGTGTATCTTGATTATAAAATTAGAATCTCCGGAAGCTGGACAAAGGAGCCCCTGCATTCGACATTCCTTTCTGTGTTTGCACAGACACTAAAGAGGACAAGAAACTCAATTACTACACATTTAGGATTGCCTCGGTTCCTTTAGTTTATCGTAACTGAAAGACTTTGCGCTGTTCGACTCAAAGTAACTTGACAGTCAAATATTCAGGTTCATGCTACATGCAGAAATGGAAAGAGACCGAGAGGGAGGGAGTGGAAAGAGACATTGAAAAGCAGCCCTGTCAGTATGAGATGGCACATCAGATAGTGTTATCAGCAGGTCTGCGAGCTCTGTGCTGGAAGCATGATTGGTGCTTTCTTTAAGGCTGGCGCTCTCCGTCTAAGACCAGCCAAAACACAGGCCAAGCCTGGCGCCACTCCTCTATCCATCCCCTCCTCCTCCTCCTCTCGCCATCACCCATCACCCTACCCTTGCTGTGGGTGCATGGGCAACACCTTTCACATTAGATCTCCAGGCCCTGTTCACTGATTCTTACAACTGATTCAGGCATTGCTCATTTGGCCTAAGGGCAGCTCAAAGAACATGTTTGAAATAATTGCTGATCAGATGTTATCTGGTTGAAATCAGTAACTCATGGCTACTGCTGCGAACATGATTCTTTACAACTGATACAAACAGACCCAGATGTCACAACAAAAGTTGATTGTTTGATATCATTTTGCACTGTGTGCCATTCTTTGGCTTGCGTATTTATCATTAAAATGTTTTAAGATGCCATTTTCTCCAGGTCAGACTAATGAAACTGATGAGATCTGTTTGTCTTGTTCTAGATTCATACGGGTGCTGGAAATCCTGGAAAATGCTTGTTGTTTAATACAGTGTTTTCAAGGTTGTGCTTGGATTTTGGACAAAGTGCTTGAACCTGCTTGAATTTGAAATTGTAGGGCTCGAAATTGCGACCGTTTTGGTTGCATATGTGCCCGAAATTTTATTTATACGTACAAGCTCAAAATATATTTGGAAGCATTTGTGGGACTGGATAAAATTGTTGCTATGTGACCAGTTTTCATTGCAAAATGTGCAAAAAATATTTGGGAGGCATTCGCACAGAATGCATATTTACACTAAAAAACCCAAACGCAGCGCTGATAAATCATTTAAAACAGTTGACATGTCAGCTTGCTGCAGTAATCAAAGCCCACAATGCCTACCCTGCTTTGAAGTTCTGGCCCATTGCTCTTGAGCGCGAATGGATTGGTCAATATCAGCTATCAATCACTGAGGCCCCGTTTACGCTAATGTGTTTTAGTTTGAAAACGCATACGTTTTGCTACGCTTACGCCATCCTTCCACACTACGCTGGAGTCCACAATATGCCAAAAACTGAGCATTTTGGAAACACTGAAGAGGCTGTTTTCATTCTAAAACACTGCTGCTCCGTTTCAATGTGGATGGGGGAAAATGGAGACATCTGAAAATGTAGGCGGGGCTGCTGACATTCGCCTCTCTGATTGGGGCTTTTCCTCAATATTAGGTAGCTTATACACAGTTCAGTTCTGCATTCTCTACTTGTAAGTTCAGACTTCGCAAGTTTGATATGGAAAACAGACTCCTGAGGACATGTCGGTAAATCTTCAAAGGGAACAGTCTACTTTATAACCTCATTTACATCATCCTGGATACGTTGTTTCACTATCTTAACAATAAAATGAAAACATGTTATAAGGAACTGCTATTTTCATTTCGATATTAGCAACTTAACAGACAGCAGAAATGTTGAGACATCATGCTGCATATTTATATGAGCGTCATCTTCACTGTATGTGTATTCATAACAAATCGGAGCCTATAACAAAACTGCCTCCTTTCATTTTCATTGAAAATACGAAACATCCCCTCTCTTTTGCTGAATATCAGTTTTAATAATCAATAATGGCCATTATAAAAGTATGACGTACAATAAGTTCATACATTATAGGAAATAAAGGCACGCAATCAGTCAATATGCAAAATGTACATGGTTACACTAATTATTAACTTATCTTTGCGCTCAGCCAAAACACGTTACCTGAGAGCAAGTAATAGATTCAAAAGACCAAAGTCGGGGAATATGTTGTTAGATATAGACAAGATGAATTAAATATCACGTTTAACAAATATAGTGAGATTAGATCCAGCGGTAGATCCTTGATGAACACTCCGAGCACAGCTCTCATCTGGTTAGATATGCAGCAGTGCATGCCAGAGAGTGTGTGTGTGGTCACGTAATGTGCGTTTTTCAGTGTTTTGGTGTAGACGCAGAGCTGTGCAAAAACGCTAGTATGGACGCGGATCGCTTTCATTCTAAAACGCCGTTTTAAAACTAAAACGCGCTAGTGTAAACGGGGCCTTAGTCAATGCCTTCCTTCAAATGACAGGGAGCTACAGCTGTGAAAATGTAAAGGTCTGTGTACGAGAGAATAAAAACAACACTGACCGATTTTGTTTTAGAAACCACCTAAAGTTTCAAATAATGGCTGATTTTATTTATTTATTTATTTATTTATTTATTTATTTATTTATTTATTTATTTATTTATTATTTACTATTATTATTATTTTTTTTTTACATTTTTGGGTGATTTATCCCAAAATATCTATGCTCCAAAGTATTCAACAATTTAAATTAAAATGTCATATTGTGTTTTTTTAAATAGCACAATGGATTTAAATGAAAAACAATAAATACAGTACAGCATATATAAACGGAATTTACTGTGGTTGTTAGCTGCTAGATAAGCATAAAAATTCTCATTGAAAATGCTTGAAAAGAGCTGGAATTTTAAGTTTGAATCGATGTAGGAACCCTAGTTGTTGTTTTGGGGGTTTTCTTTTGGTTTAGTATTGTTTTTATCTGCCTTTTAACTTGCCTTTTATTATTAACAATTAGCTTACCTTTATATTACAGTATGTACATATCCTGTAATGTTGATGGACAAAAAGCATTGCCAGATGTTCTTGAGATCAGTACTCAATAATATTACAGCACAGGTTCTCCCTCTTATCATGATACATGTCTAGCCACGATGGGATTTTCAGTTTGGTCAGGGTTTTTTTTTCTCTGTGATCAATTTCTGAAACCCTTATTCTGGTTTTGTTTCATCCCATAATGAAAGCCGCAGGGCAAGAACTCCCTTCAAAGATGTTACTCTAATTCTCCTGAGGCCACGGTCTCCAGGCTCGGCCCAAATCCAGCCCTGGGCTCTCAATGGGCCTTGAGAAAGTTTCTTATCTGAAGGAAGCACACTGGAGCAATCACAGGCTTCCGACCCCCCAATGTGGAGCCACTCTGTTCTCCGTGTCCTTGTCCACACCACCTCCCTCCTGAAGCTCTGCCAGATCTACTGCAGCACTCAAGCAAACGTTTGGCACCCTTGCGCATTTCAGTGGTGGTATTACCAGTCATGTAGTCATGATTTTTCATAAATTTGTTGTTTATCCAAATTGATTGTCAAGTAATAGAAATATCGGTCACTTTAATTTAATGGTCTATTACATTGAATTTACATGCCAACTAATTCTCATTAGATTATAGGTAGACTGTTAGGTTGGGGTTAGTGTAAATTGACACGTACTTGCAAAGTTTTTTATAGTCAGTTAAATGTCTGTTGAAGGAGCAGATATTAAGCAGACAGTCTACTCTAAAGGACTCAAAAGGACTATCAAAATAAAGTGTTACCGAAATCTCTAATGTATTATTTATAGTTTTGTATCAGCAGTTAATCACACAAACTTTTGAGTATTTAAACATTGTGTATTTTCTGCATGAATTCCTAAAAGTGCATCTCTTTATAGCACCTCTCCTAAATATTTTGCACAGCTGCTGCCAACAGAATTTGTAAAAAGGCACTAATATCTGTCTACAAAAAAAATGCACCCCTTTAACTAAATTCACTTGCATTGTGGAACTGTACACTATATAAAGAGGCAAAAATTACTTTCACAGACTTTGTGGTTTGTCTAGTTTAGAGTTTTTGCCCATTTTACCCATTTTTGCTAGGTTTTATCTTTATTTTACAATAAAATACTATTTTAAAAACTCTGCATTGTACTGTGAGTTATTTAAATTGAAGGCAGTTTCTGTGAGTCAGTATTTGTGGCCTGTATTAATATTTGTGTGGAGCTAAGGGCAGTGACAAAACAGAGGTCACTGTTGTTAGGAGGGTTCAGAGTAGCAGGATGAAGTTGCTGTTGTTTATTTTGGATGTGAGCCAAGGGCTTGAGAGCTAGAACAAGACTAGTATAGTGTGCACACACACTAACTTGCATTCTAAAACTCTTGTGTTTGTGCTGTATTGCAGGCTACAATACTCCCACTGAAATGACAGATGCAGACAGACTCATGGACAGTTGGTATCTGAAGTCACTCGGTGGCTTTATTACAGTGGTAACATCAGATGGAGACATGATCTTCTTATCGGAGAACATCAACAAATTCATGGGTCTCACTCAGGTGAGTAGTAACGCACACTGTATCAACACATGAATCGAATCGCAGTCCAGACAGATACTCACATTAGTGCTGTTATAATTAGCTGTTTGTCTGTTTAGCGTCCATTTCCTTCGGGTTCACTTAATCACAGGCTTACAAGATGCCATTATTAACCACAGCACAAGCCCGTTTCCTTTAAGTACTGTATAGGAGGAAGGATGTGTCACTTTTTTTGTACCCTTGTCAAAGCTTTTGGACTTATCTCCTGCCTGGGAATTGCTTCCTTACACATGGCTGCTGTTTTGTATGACCATTCCCAGTTATACATTTGTTATCAGATTAAAAAAAAAAATTATAAGGAGTGTAAATCTCACAAAACGAATCAAGAACCAATCATAATGCCTAAAATAACAAAAAGGTGCCCTGTTTTCCAATGTAAACCAATGTTTTAACTTCAGTAGAATTAAGAAATTGATGTTGAACACATCGGGAATGAGTAAAACATTAATTAAAACTTATTTTAATATTATTATTAAAATTTATTTATACTTATATTTATACTTATTTTACTTTTAAATTAAAAATTAAAACATTAATTTTAATGAAAATTAATATAATTTTCAATTTAAGCAACCGAATTAGCTGTGTGTGTGTGTGTGTGTGTGTGTGTGTGTGTGTGTGTGTGTGTGTGTGTGTGTGTGTGTGTGTGTGTGTGTGTGTGTGTGTGTGTGTGTGTGTGTGTGTGTGTGTGTGTGTGTGTGTGTGTGTGCACTCATGTGGGTTTTGTTGATTTACGATCACAGATTTGTATAATGGTTTTGACATGCCATGTGTCCTAAATCAAAACTAATATATGTCATATTTTAACTTTAACTGGTTTAGGGAGAGGGTTAGGTTAAGGTGATATAATAAGTGGTTTTAAAAGAATAAAATAGATATTGCCAATGAAGTTGGTCTTCATAAACCACCAAAACAAGTATGCGTGTGTATAATAGTTACAGATAAACAACCTGAAAATTATTTTAGGTCTCTGTTGAATCGGAAGTTCAGAAGAACAGCTTTTATTGCAAATAAAACAAACAAACACTTCGTTACTGAAACATTTGTAACAATTTCAAATGGTCATTTCTGAATAAAAGTGTTCAGTTCTTAAAATTGAATGTAGTTATTGACCCTGGGCTGAAAATAGATTGCCCGATGTTTAATGAAATAACAGCACCTGCATGTCTTTCTTTGTAGGTGGAGCTAACAGGACACAGCATCTTCGACTTCACTCATCCCTGTGACCATGAAGAGATCCGCGAGAACCTCAGCCTCAAAGCCGGTATGTCACTTTCCATTTATTCAGCCTCACTAGTTGCCAATCCTGCTATAAAAATAGACAAAGCTTATGTGAGAATGACAGAGAGCAGTTAATCGTACAGAAGTAGACTAATGAAGTGCTATTGAGGGGTCAGCCTACTGTACATACAGACTGTGACAGATAATCTAATGAGATCATGGGAGATTTTCAATGGTAAAATGTGTTAAGCAGAGATAAAACATGACCAGTTTAGCCCATCTACCATTTAACAGATTTTTAATTATTATTTGGTTCATTTTAAATTCAGTATAAGTTGTTTTACCTGAAATTAAAAACTGGCCTCTTGAGTTATTTTGCATTTTGTTTGGAAGCCCAGATAAGTTTATTACTGACTTTATTTGTTAATAGGCTTTGGGGCAGTTCGCTGATGCTCATATTATTACCTAAATTACCTACCAAGTTGTGATTATTAAAGCATCTAACATTTCAGCACCCAGTTCAACATTGTATCGAATGTAATATGAACTGCAGGTGCTTTCTTATGGGCTCCTCTAAGATGAATTGGACTAAAGTTTTTTTTGGCCATAAAAGAAGAGGAGCTGGAACCTGGAACCCAATCACTTTAGCGCAGACTTTCAGAAATAGCTAAACACATATGTAAAGTCCTAAAGGAAAAAAAAACATATAGAAGATTGGATATACAGTATGACCAAAACAATGACCTACAATACTCACTTGTTTTATTATATGTCTCTTTTATTTGACCTTTCGACTTTCCTATTACTCTTGTATGCTTCTTTAAAGGTCCCGCGAAGTGCGTTGAAATGTGCATTTTTATTCGAAGTTTGACTTGATCTCAAACGAAACCCAACCCCAGCCAATAGCGTTGTTGTAACCATGGGGAGTGACACAAACAACTGAGGTTTGGATCCACATGCAGGTTTATTCAAAGTCAGGCAAGCAAAGGTCAGTACAGGTGCCAACAGATATATAGGGGAAGTCCAGAATCGTTGTCAAAGGATCAGGCGAGTGGTCAGAAGGCAGGCAGCAGACGGAGACAAAAAGTAAACAAGGCTGAGGTCAAAACACAAGAAAACAAGACTACGAAAACACGTTGTAGTGTTACTATACAGATAACAAGACTCGGCAATGGGAGTGAGTGTGTTGCTTAAATAGTGTGTGCAATCAGTCTCTGACAATCCTCAGGTGGTGCGAGTTTAATCAGCCTAGATGAGGAAGCATGTGTGAGTGTGAGCGGAGTGCATGTATGAAAATGTAGTCCAGAAATGGTGGATTTGTAGTCCATAGTTATAGAGAGTGAAATCGTACGATCGCTGGTTATCGTGACAGTTGTGTTATGAGAAACTGTAGTATGGGTTGACGTGACTAAAACTGTTGATTTATTTAGGGGGAAGTGACAAACTACAAGCTTTACATGTTGATATCAGTTTTATATCTTCTAAACGTGAATTTTGCCACTGTTTTAGGGCACGCTAGCTTATAGATAATATAATTATTTAGTCAAAAATATTACTGAAACTAATTTAAAAACTGAACAGATATAGATTTACACAAGTATATAAACAGAGTTAATGATAGGCTAAAAATCTGCGGAATTCTGCGCGTGCAGATTCCGTGTGGGCCTACTCATGGGGTTTGGTTTATGCACACTGAGATTAAGGGATGGTTTAACCAAAAATTAAAACAAGTCATCATTTACATCAGATTTAAACCCATAAGGCTTTGGTTAAGTTTATGTTTGTATACTAAAGGGCCAGAAAGTCAAAATTTAAAGAAAAGATCAACAGCTCCCATATGTTAGCGTGATGCAGTGATTTCATCAAAACCAGGAAGACTACTTTTACATTCTACTTTTCACATTCTCAAATCTTATTGTGATTGACTGCAGATACAAAAAGCTTTAAATAATTGAATGGGGGTTCCTATTAAGGCACTTGTTCCTTTGAGATTTTTCTGTGGGATTTTATGATGGGGTCTACTTCACATAACTGGCTGCTCTACCAATAGTTGACTGTATTTTGACAGTTTTAAATAATGACTGTTAAAATAACTATTTACATATTGGTTTACACTATGCAGCATTGTTGATTTACAAAAATAAAAAAAATCTAACAAATATAATTCTGTGGCACTATCACACTTGTTTCTTATTTTATTTTGAATATTTTCCTAAATAAATTGGTCTAACACTTTCACTTTTACACTTACACAATTTTCAGATTTTTCATTATATATATATTAATTCTGGTACTTTTACCATAAACTGACATATCAACCATTTGGTAAAGATTGTTGTTTTAGAAATTATAGGATGTGTTGAAAAAACCCTCAGGGGTCAAAAACAGTGTGTACACATTTTGAAGCGTCTTTTCCTGATAATGCAGAAAAGAACTTTTATTACACTTTCAGTTTTGAACCGTCAGATAAGAGCTATACATCAATCGAGGTGTCTACTTTTTTTGTGTACACTCACAATAACAACACAAGTGTGTGCTTTTGCAAAATGAGGGAAATAAACAGTGTAGGCATTCTTTCTTTTCACTCTTTGCAAACTGTTTTTAGAAGCACGTCAGTAAAATGCACTAAAACTCCACGAAAACAAAACACACAGACATGAGACGTATCTATAGAAAGCTTGAAGTGTCTACTTTTAAATACAGCGAGTGCATGTTGAAAACAAACATTGTTTGGTAAAGTAATCAGCATGAAACCAACACAAGGGCTAGTTTCTCAGTTTGAGCTCATTATTTTTTATTTTCTCAATATTTTTTTTATATTTTCAATGTTCTAGTGACATTAGGAGTGAAGAAATGTAATTCAAAATGTTTTTCTTGATAGGTTAGTCAAAGAATTAACTTGCTTTTATATTTACGCAAAATGTATTTTATAAGAAAACGTTACTATATCAATTTTGTTTTACAGATATTATTTTACTTATAAATTGCAAAAATTCTTATAAAACCGCATTAAATATCTTAGGGAAACCAATGGTTTTGGGTCTTTACATTGTCTCTTCACCCCTTTTAATAAAATTAAATCTGATCATATCTCATCACAAGACTCAAAGTTCTTGTGAAGTTTGGAATGAACTTTTAGTTTCTTAAATTTTCAATAGATGAATGTAAATCTCACAGATTTTGTTCAAAAATAATAAAAATAAGTAATGTTGGTAAGATTAACCAAAGTCATATGTGACTGGAATGCAATGACAGTAAGTAAACCATAACAGAATGTTCAGATTTTGTAGGAACCGAAACTTTTAAAACACTTTTCACTTTGATGCAAACATTACCGTAAGTCAAGAAGCCAAACTCTTCGCTAAGAGTAAGTCCAGTATTAACTATATAAACAGTCTCATCTAGCTTCAATGTGTAAATATGTTTGGTTTTAGCTAATACATTTATTTTTATAAAAGTGATCATATCGAAAGCTGAAAGTGCTGTAAGATGTTTTGGAATTTGATAACCCAAGAAAAAATATTTTAGTTGAGTTTAAGCTTCCGTATGCACAGAGGAAGAATGTCAGGAATGTTTTCCTAGGATTTTTGACCAATTCTAACCAAAGACTCTCTTTTGTGTATGTGTGTGTGTGGTTTAATCTGCAGGCATTGGAAAGAAAGGCAAGGAGTTGAGCACAGAGAGGGATTTCTTCATGAGAATGAAATGCACAGTCACGAATCGAGGGCGCACCGTCAATCTTAAGTCAGCCAGCTGGAAGGTCAATAACTTCTCCTTTAAAATAAGTGCTAACCTGAAGTCAGATCTGGTGTAACTCATAAGATAATGGTTGTTCTGTCAGGTTCTACACTGCACGGGTCATCTAAAGGTGTGTAACGGCTGCCCAGCACGAGTTCTGTGTGGTTTTAAGGAGCCGCCGCTCACTTGTGTGGTCATGATGTGCGAACCTATTGTCCATCCATCAAACATCGACACACCGCTCGACAGCAAGACATTTCTGAGTCGCCACAGCATGGACATGAAGTATACTTACTGTGATGAAAGGTACTCTCTTTACACTGAACTTTTTATCAGTTGACACTGGAATAATTTATGAATATTTATTGTGAACAGTACATAACCTGTTAGCCTATTCCCTGCCATTGTTTCTGTGTTTTAGATGTAATATGGTAAAGGAAGACCTAATGCATTTCCAGAATGAGTTACGAGACTTGTGGGTCTCCTGTATATCTGTATATGAATCTTAAAGACAACCAGAGAAAGTGTAAATTAGATGACATGCAAAAAAGAAAGTATAGCCTCCTGAGACCCTGCCCATTGACTTGTTTCCTTTGTAGTGGACATTGCGTTTTCATGAATTGAGATTTGTGAGGGGTGTACTTATCTACTTGTATTTATATCCCTGTACCTATGCATATTCTTTAACCTGTGTAAAGAAATACAAAGAACAGATAAAGAAACATATTAAAGACCTGATGAGACGTGTTTAATGTAAGCAATGATTGCTTAATTGCTGAAATGTTTTATAGTAGCTTTTGAAACATGCCCTACTTTCTAAAAGAGCTCTGACTTATGACACCTGGAGAATGAGAGGAAAGTAGAGTCATTTAACTTACCTAAACAGCCATCCAGTGGTGATTATGGTGATTATTGTGATGTCAGTGCACACACATTTAGACAAGGGTAGTTTAAAACATGGTTATTACATTTTTAGAGTTAAGCATTTGTGGAAAGATCTGGAATGCAGTCCTAGGCCTTCGTTAAACAACCAATAATGTTGTATTACAGAACTGCATTTGATTTCTAGCCCTACAAAACCTCTTATAAAAGCTTCTCTCAGTAATTGGCTCAGGTTCGCTCCAGCCCCTGTTCTGTTTAGAATTAGTTAGTTCAGTGGCTGGAGAATCGAAGGCCCTGTAATGCACAGAGAACTGCAGACACACACTCACACCGAGTCAGTGACCTGCAGCTGTCTGGCATTATGTAACTTCAGTGTAAGGATCAGCTCAATACATTAAACGCACACTTCCAAAACATTCATTTAACATTTAACATTCATTTCATGCAAACACAGATTATTGCTCTGTGCTCTTAATTAAAGAGTATAATTATTGAGTTTGAGTTGAAGAGAATTAATCACATCATAATATCTGGTAACGTAATATAAACATGGAAAACTAAATTAACTATTGTGTTTATATTTCATGTCATGCCTGTCTGTCAAGTCTGTAATTGAGCATTTTATAATTTCATAAATTTGAATCTCTGAAAATCTGTAATTAGTCTGGTGCAAAGTTATGATGTCACAAAGTTTAGTCCAATGTTAAGTCAATGGGACTTTTCTAAATTTTCCGGGTCAGTCGGAACAGTTGGAAAAGATATAGCAACTCGAGTCAGACCAGTTTGAAGTAATTTAGGTGTTTGTAGCTTAAACGGACTAGATAGTTAAAAAGTTAGATGCATATAGAAATTATTCTCAGAAGAAGACCGAAGAAGAATAATAAGTTTATCTAGTATAACATTATGTTCAGGGCCGACGCATCCATAGAGGCGACCTAGGCGGCCGCCTAGGGCGGCAGTGTAGAATGGGCGGCGTCTGCGACACCTCCCTTACCACCCGCATCCTCAGTTATGTCCGCGACACCTCTCTCACCACCCGCGTCCTCAGATATATTCGCGCATAGACGACAGAATAGAGAGGGCGGCGTCAGCGACACCTCCATCAGCACCTGTGTGTCGGGCGGCAGAATTGAGGTCCTGCGCGTCCTCAGTTATATCCGCGCATAGGGAGGCAGAATAAAGAGCGCAGAGTCCGCGACACCTCCCTCCCTCAGCACCCGCGCGTCCTCGGTTATATCTGCGCATAGTGCACCGGAAAAGAGGTCTGTGACACCTCACTTCATTTTCATAACCGGTCACTTTCGTTTTCACATTGGGGTTGAGGGCGGCGTGATCGTCCTCTGCCTAGAGCGGCAGTTCAGCTTGTCCGGCCCTGATTATGTTGGCTTTCTCAAGGCACCATAGTTAAGGTTCATGTTAACAGCCAAACAAATCACATGAAATGGATCATTATTAAACTGGCTTACTGTAAAATACTAAACTTGTACTGATCAAAGAAAATATTTAAGCTCTTTAGGCAGACCGAGTGTGTGAGTGTGTTGTGTGCATGCTTGTGCGTGTGAGTGGCTGGATGTGTAAGTTGATGTTAATTGCCTCTCACTTTTCTAGGGTTACAGAGTTGATGGGCTACAATCCTGAAGATCTTCTCGGACGATCTGCGTATGAGTTCTACCATGCTCTGGATGCTGAAAATGTCACCAAAAGCCACCAGAACCGTATGTGTCATTCCTTTACCCTTTTGTCTTTTTGCTTGTGCAAACAATTTAGTGTAAGGAAACTTTTTAAACCTTTCTTTCCTTTTTATTCATGCTTTACGTAGGTGTTTGGTATTTAATTGAACACATTTAATAGAAAATCACATTCACATGTGTAATCATATGACTTAGACACACACACACACACTTACAGTAGCACCGCCTTACCATTGGGTGCATCAAATAAAGCCATGTGAGCGAACCAGGGAAGAGGATTAGAGAGTGTGGTTAGAAAGCAAGAGCAGTTGGTCTTGTTCTAAGAAAGCAGAGGCTCAGGTCAGCTACGGTGGCAAGGTTGCGTTCCCAAGGTTTACAGTTTCAACCCTTAAACATAGAACAAGTCAGCATTTAAACGCTTTGTGTGCAACTGCTATCTGATATCTACAACTTCACAACAACAAGCCATTAGGTACATACTATGCGCTAATATTATTTGTCTCCAAAAGTCCCCCTGAAATCAAAACTTTCATATGATTTTGTTAGCTCACATTACTCGTTTTGTGGTGAACAGTTAATCTGTGCATGTCATTATGAAAATGTTTGTCCTTCTAATCTTTAATTGAATTCTGATAATCCACTTCCGTTTATTTCTTTTATTTTTCAGTTAAATTGTCAGATTACATGTATATTTTAGGAATTGGGCGTGCGAGGTGTCTGTTAGTTTGTAATAACTCTTTCCAAATCCTTTTCCCGATGTTTCTGAATGAAATGCCTACTATACTACATAAAATCAGCTCACAGTAGAAAATAAAAAGCCACAGCCACTGTTTTGTCATCTAATATGCTGTTTCTCTAGGAACTGTCACAATATGGAAAAAAAAGTGGTTGCAGCTTTCGGTTCATGTGAAATTTAAGGTGTACTCTCACTAGGCACGAATATACTCCCTTTTAGTCATTTGGGATGCAGTGACACAAAGTCAAATATTTTGCGGAACAGTTCCAGGACTTTTGACGGTTATAAATTATTAAGTCATCATGCTGCAGGTATTAGGAGGTTTGCTAAAGGTGTAGCTGATGTGGATTTGCGTCTTTAATAAACTATGACAGTTTGTCTTCATTCAAAAGTAAAAATAATTTTTAATTCCATATAAAACAGTCCCTTAACCCTTTAATGCACAAGCTATAAAATAGATATAGATAAAATAAACTTAGATGGGTCTCTTTAGATCCATATAGTGCATCAAAGGGTTAAAAGTGACGTCTTATCATCAGTTCTTAGCTCAGGCACACTTTGCACTCACACTAATAGTGTACAGCGCCAAAGCCCAACCAAACCGTGCTATAGCATACTTCTTCCAAACGGGCCAGGGCCGGCCAACTGAACTGTGCCTGGGCAAGATTCGGAGCACTCACACTTGTCAAATGAACCAGGAAACGTGCCTGGACACATCGCCCAAAATTCTAGGGAAAAACAGCATGGTCATAATAAATAAAATAAGGTTGTGGGGGTTGGTTATCTCAAAAAATAAAATAAAAATACTAATGCAAAAGTTCCTCTGCAATCGACAACCAAACGTGGACACTCAGATCAGAGTAAATGAATAGATTTAATATAGAAAAAAAAGTAGCAATTTAAATGAGCATCTCGTCAGGGTGTATGTAAAAAAAAAAATAAATAAAATAAAAACTAAAGACTCGAAAAAAGAACTAATGTTCTCCAGATTAAACAATGTGCGCATGTGCGTTCTCACGTCACATCATTCAAAATCAACAAATGGTTCAAGAATAACCCATCACTACTGGATTGTGGCTTGTCATGTGTGGATTATATTAACCTTTCAATTCAATTCATCTTTATTTTTAGTGCTTTTTACAATGTAGATTGTGTCAAAGCAGCTTAACATAGAAGATTATAGTGATTTGAAACGGTGTTAGTTCAGTTTTCAGAGTTTCAGTTTAGCTCTATTCAGTGTGGTTTAATATTCACTGCTGAGAGTCCAAACACTGAAGAGCAAATCCATTTAAGCGCAGCTCTACAGATCCTGAACCATGCAAACCAGTGGCGAGGAAAAACCTTCACCAATTGGTGAAAGTGAAGGATAAAATCCTGGAGAGATACCAGGCTCAGTTGAGCACAACCTTTTCTCCTATGGCTAAACATCTTGTGCAAAGCTGCAGTCCAGGCAACGGAGGCTGTAGAATGCTGGATATCAGCAAAGACTCTTCTGTCCCTGGAGCGTCACAGAACTGCTCTCATGCTCTCCACTCCTCCATGACCAAGCCAGTAGCTGCTCAGGATACGGCCTGGTCCAGGATTATGGAAACCTTGGGATCATCTCGTTGCAGGTCTTAGATCACATTAGTGGCACGGCATAGTCTCTTGGAACCTCGGGATGAGTATCCTCAAGTGGAAATAGAGAATAAAGAGAATAATTAGCGTAGCTGCTGTTCAAAGTGTAAATAAACGAGCATAAACCTGCATGGAGCACATTTATGCATCATACCGTTAAGTGTATGCTTTACTAAAAAGATAGGTTTTTAAAATCTAGTTTTGAACTGCGATGTGTGTCTGGGCCTCTGACATTATCATGAAGGCAATTCCAGAGTTTACGAGCCATAAATATGTGTCCAACCAATGCAGGAATGTATTGATAAAACACTACAGTTTTTACGTCAGCTTATTGCTCTGTTCTTCATCAAAACTTCAAGTTATAATGACAAACATTCCATATTAATAGACCCATTTCTAGACAATTATGAGGAAATAGATAGTGATGTTAGGAGGTTAACGAGAGATCTACAAGAGACCATGAAGCATTTAAATCGCACTTTCAGGTTGTTATTCAAAAGAAAAAGGAGTTTGACCAAATAAATTGGGTACTGACAAAATCCCTGCCAAGGTCTGACAAAGTCCCCTCTATGTCTATACTATAGCCTTCGGTCTGCGAATCACATGCTGTAGGGTAGGTCGTCAGTAAAATGAAGGGAACACAGATTAAGGTTAAACGGTTTCATGATCCCCAGAGTCTTATACAGCGTTTGAGGAAGGGGGGTTTATGTTCTCCCGGGTCTGTATGCACAACAAGTGGGCGAGCAATTTTTCATTCAGACATCCCCATGAAATGGCTCAGATCAAAACAAGAATTTAAAGAATGACTTGTTTTAATGACTCTGAATCGACAGTAGGGCATATTTGATATCGCAAATGAGCATATCGCAATGGTTTGCAACAAATGAGCGATATAATACAGAAGGAGCTTTGTGTGCCTGCCATTAGCACACTCTCTGAAAGACTTTTCAGCACATCAGGCTGAATAGTCACATGTCAAAACACATCTCAGAAACCAAGCAGTGGTCATGCTGTTTTTCTCAACACAAATCTGTTGCAATTTTATTTTAGTATGGATGCTGAAATTTGACCAAGCAATTCAAGCCATTTAAAGAATGCAATAAAACAGGAAAGACCGAACCACTCGACATGATCCTTTCCCTGAAATAATATGAACTGCATGTTGGTTATGACATTTTCAAAATATTATATCAAATGTCGTATTGTCACAATCACCAGGGATTGTGTGCTCGCAGATAACTGGAGAACTCCACACATGCCACCGAGTGAACTACAACTACCAGGATGCTTTGCGCACATCATCTCCCGCTACAGCTGACAACAATCTGGACACACTCTATCTCACACAGCTGAAACAAATATTTGAAGATTACTCCGACTATATAAACCCTCCAGTCACTCTCTCTCTTTGCGAAGTCTTGTTGATCTGCAAAGTGTGAAATTCTGAGCGTTCTTGTTTTTTCTGCCCGATTCGTGTTGTGATTCTTGGACTGATTTCCCATTTATGAATGTTATCTGCCTGCCCCATACTTTTCACCTGTTTTCTGGATTACGCTCTGTGGATTACTCTGATATTGTTGTTTCTTCCCATTTCGACCTTTGCCTGCCTGAACATTCTCTATGAAAAAAGCTGGACTTGAAATTTGACATTGTTGCCAGCACATTCTATATTGTTACACAAATAAATTGCATTATTTATCCCACTTCAGATTTGTCTTTAGTATCGCACAGCCCTAATTAACTCTTTCCTTTGAGAGACAATTACTTTATACATGATACAGTACACTTTCCAATTTAAACATTCAGCAGGATGTTTTAATTTAATTAGAGTGTATTACAAACCGCGTGACAGGTAACTTCCATAAGTCCATAAATGGGGCACTTTAAAATACAAATTATTCAGTACATTGAACATAAAATACATGAGAGATATTGCTTACACAGGTGAAATAACAATAATCTAGTTCTGGACAGATAAATTAATATTTCTATTCAGGAAGAAAGCATTTTGTTAATAAAAAGAATATTAAAATTCTGTTTCAACAATTTAATTAATTCATTTTATTTTCTGTTGCACGTTACAATGTAGATTGTGTCAAAGCAGCTTCACATAATGTTCACTGTTAAAGTTCAGTGTAGTTCAGTTCAGTGTAATGTAAATGTCACCGCTGAAAGCCCAAACACTGAAGAGCAACTCCAACACTGCGCAGCTCCGCAAGTCTCAAACCAAGCAAGCCAGTGGCGACAGCGGTGAGGAACAAACTTCACCAGTTGAAAAAAAAAAGTAAAAAAAAAAATTTCAACAAATACCAGGCTTATAGACAATTTTTTTCCTTGGCTAAACATTTTGTGCAGAGCTGCAGTCAGAACATTGGACATTCAGTGTTGAGAAGCTGCAGTACTAAGTCGATCACTGGCGGTTGTTCAGACTAACCCACTTGATGGAGACTTGTCTGTCACTGGGGTCTTTAGTGGAATAAGTCTCACACTCTCCACTCGTCCTTAACACTGATATAAATTAATAAATATTATAACTACTGTACATTCCAAATGGCTATATTCTAATGGATTCCGAAGGAATGCTGAAGACAAAGTGGCTATTGAAAATTCAGCTTTGCACGGGCAGGGTGAGCAGATGGTGAGAGGAACAGCATGAAAAAGTGACCAACTT